AGAATAGTTCTATTATTTTACTTTTAGTTACAAAGACTAATAGTAAAATAATAGAACTGTTCTATTATTTTGCTATTATATTACTATTATGTTATTCATATTGACAAACCTCCTGTAATTTTACTGTTATTCTGCTATTATACTGTTATTATTTGGCAAATATAAGATAGAATAATGGCAGATTTTTTTTCTATTATTTATCTATTATTTACCCTTTATTTATTTGTTCAACCTATGCTAGTTGCCATATCTAGAACCTGCCTGTAGATTCTCTATATAACCATTCTAGTTTTTATATTCATCTATTTATCTCTGCCTACTAATAACTCTAGCCAATGCTAATAAAAATATGCTATGATTACTAAGTCTTTAAAGCAGCTTACTTATATAAAAAACCTTTAATTTTGTACTAAACCTTTCAGAATCTTCTATATCCTATTTTTATAGCTGATCTAGTATTACTATAGTTGAGACCAACACTGGTAATTAGGGTATATCATTAAACTACTATGCTTTTATAGAGTTCATCCCAATCCTGATATTAACTTCATAACATATCTCTACTACTTTGATATTTAATTTAAATTTTACCAAGCTTCTAAATCAAATAGCTCAACAAGGCAGGTCATAATTATACATCACTGGTTTACATGTTTGCTAGCATATAACCTTTTTTTCTAGAATAGATTCTGGTGGCCTAGTTGGTTCTATTCAGCACCTTCTTAAATACTGGCTCTTTGTCTAGTTCACAAGTTCTAGCTCTGTTTTATAGATCTAATCTTTACAGTAATACTGTCAAAGGTTTAGGTTACCTTTCTATTTGGGTCTTTTAAGTGGATTTCTATCTTCCTATCTGGTTCTTGTGATTTACATAACCTAAGGACTTATTTTAGGTTCACACTACTTAGTACCAGTTTGTGTTTCTTCATATAACATTGCATGAATGCCTAGACTTTTCAGTTATACTAGTATGACACAGGTTATAGGTGTCTTATCCTAACTAATCACAGAAGACAGTTAACCATAATACAGAAAGAATTGCAAATTTTCACTATTACTGAGATTTGAACTCTAGACCTGTCACTTAAATGTTGACAACTTATTTACTTTACTAGTCACTATATCTCTTATTATAAAGAAATAATTTAGATTAATTTTAAACAATTGTTATTTTGATTTTTGTACAATATTATACAATTTGTATAACTATAAGAAGATGTGACAACTTAGTGAAATAAATAAGTTATTAATCTTTTAAGTAGTAGATTAGATGTTCAAATTCTATTAATAACAAAATTTTAGATAATCACCTATATAATATTTATATTATAGCAATTGTTTCTAATAATTGAGTTAAAATATCTATAATAACAATTATATCAGCATAACTGACAGGTTATAAGCATTTGTATAAATATAACATTATACAAAAGAATGCAAATCAGTATTAAATAATGCAAACTTTAGATAAGTTTTTGTAGCTATATAAATTTGTTGAAATTAAAAAACAAAAAATTTATTTGAGAAGATCTAAATAGAAAAGTAATATAAATCTTTGTTAGTATTACTATAAAAACTAATTTTAGAAAATGAATACCAATATCAAAGTATTCAAATAAACAAGAATCTTTAAATAAAAAATATTATCAACTAAACTGTTAGAACAAATAAAAAAAAAAAAATATTGAGCTAACTTAATATATTAATAAACTAATTATAGTTTTACTAGACTATTTGAATTGGAAGTTTGAAGAATAGGTAAAAGTATATTAAAGTAATTTGAATATGCTATGAAATAAATGCTAAGATTCAAGTGAACTTTATAAAAACATAGTAGTTTAATAACTAATACTGACTGCAAGTATTAGTTTTATTATAATGATACCAAGTTAATTACAAAAATAAGTACAAAAGGTTTTAGAAAATTTACCTTAAGAATAAAATAGTTTTAAAGTTGAGATGATGATCTGGACATGATCTAGTAATATTAACAGATGCAGGTTCAGAAGGTTTAAAATAGAATACTTAAGCAAAGGTGTTAGATATAGCAATTAGTAAAAAACTTTCAAGTGAACTTTTTAAATAAGTAATATAAAAAAGTTATATATGTAGTTAATTGTATATTCTTTTTGTAATAGTTCATAAAATTATATTACTAAAAAAGTTGTTAATAAAAATTAAAAGACCAAGAGATTACCTTAACAAAAAAAAAAAAATTACTTGTACAACTATAATTATTTCAAAAAATATTATATAGAATTTTATATTTTTTTTTTTATTTAAAAACTTCAGATTTAATAAGTTTATTATATAATTTTTAGTTTGATATTTTTTTTAATTATTTATTATAAAATTTTTAAAAATGTTTACAATAAAATAATAGATAATTATATTTGTTTATTTTGTGTTTTATTTATATATTAGTTAATTAAATCTATAGAATTACAACCAGTTTTTTAATTTTACTAAATTTTTTTTTGTTTTAGACCAATGACTTTTCTCAAAAGTTGCTTTAGTAAATTATAGTTATTTATATGTTTTTTTTCTTTTTTTAAATAATAAATAACCTGTTTCTTAAAGTAAATTTTGGATAAGCTTAGACATGTTGTTTTTTGCATCTTTATTTTAAAAATTGGTAAAAAAAGTTATGTTGATTATGAAAAATAAATTATATTATTGTATTAACAATTATTTTATTAAATAGTTTATTATTCAGAATGGTTAATTAATATTTAATAACAAGTAATTATTGTAACAACTTATTCTGAAATTAGTTTATACTAGAAATTTAACTTATTTTATTATTAAAATTGCAAAAAATTTTAAATTTTTTTTAGTTTTTTTTTATAGTTAGGTTAGAAATTAGGATTAGTATTTATAATAAAAAGTTATACGTAGATTTTAGTAGATATTTGGAATTTAGATGAGGATCCAAATCTTAGTATAAGCGTTCTTAGACTTAGTAAAATAATTGGTGATAAAATAATAAACCTATTTAAGTTAATTTTGATTATTCCTTAAACTGTTTTCCAGGCAAATTTGCCTGGAAATTTCATGATTAATCTGTGATTAAGCTATCAAATTATATTGAATTGTAGTCTAAATCGTAGTAGATACGTAGTTAAATTGACAGTTTAAGGGATACTCTAGAAAGTATTTAATATTACCTCTAATAATATTATACTATTATGTAATCAAAATGCTTCTAACTATTAACAAATTGTAAAATAACAAATATTAATTTACTATTAAATATACTAACAAATATTAATTTACTATTAAATATACTAACAAATATTAATTTACTATTAAATATACTAACAGAAATCAACTATATTGGATTAATATTAAACTATTTATAATACTTGATTATAGTTCTTTGATTGACGTTTGTATTAGTGTTGGTAAATCCTAATTCTTGATTCAAGTAATTTTTAAAAAGATAACTTTAATAAATTAATCTTGTTTTCTTTAGTTAGTATATATTGTCAATAGGAACGGAATTTAGGCGGATTTGAAATTTCTTAATAAAATTACAATTTAAATCTATATTCTATAATGCAATCTTTCGAATTATTAAATAAAATTACTAAATAAAAATTAGTTACTTTTTATTAAATTTACATATTTACTAAAATCTATAAATTTGATTTTGATACTCGGTGCAAAAAAGTAAGCTAGCATAGTTTAGAGTTAAAGGTGTTTTTATATGTAAAATTAGGTGCTAGACATTTTCGCTTAAGGCATCTACACATAAAATTTTGAAATATTAACGATTTTTTGTTTTTTTTTCTTATACCCGGGTATGTACCCATCAGAAATTCTCTTTAATTTTTTGAAGAAATTTAAAATTTAAAATAAATCAAAATTTAATACGTATTAGCCAATTTAACTAGAGTATTTATTTAAAATTTTATAAACTGCAAATATAGCAGTTAAATGTTTTTAACATACAATAACAATTTGTACAAGTACATAGTAGTACTTAAAAATTTTAAGCCAGAAATATAAAAAATCGTTCAAACGAATATATACATGTAATAAAATTTAACCAAACTCAATATTTATTACAATATTTGTAACCTTAAATGTTACTCTATTAATAACCAAGAAATACAATCTTAGAATTTTCATACAAAAACTCGAGACTAAATATGTATAAGATACATATATCAGAAGATACGATGTATATAAATCAGCAAAAATTATTCTGATGTAAAGTATTTGTAAGCAATATAAGCTACGACCACTGCGACAACAGGTGCTAGAGAAGATAAAATGCTGTTTTTTTTGAATCGAAAAAGAAGTCAGATTGTATTAAGAATTCAAAAGTTATTATTAAAAAGTGACATTGGCAAACCTGGGTGATTCTTCTGTTGGTCGTGGTACATTTTTTGGTGGGGATTTTGGTGCTGGTGGTGGTGGGATTCCCTAGCAACGATACCGCAAAACATCATTTAATAAAGAAATATCTCGCGGCCAAAAACAATGTTTATTATGCACGTAGTTAAATTAAAGTTAACCAGATAACAAAAAACTTAATATATTTCTATATAATTTAACTAAACAAATAATGAATAATAATTATAACAGATCATATAACATTATTTACTAACATCTTTTAATTCGCCAATTTCTAGCCCTTTTAGGATTTCAAGGGCTTCTTCAGAATGTCCAACATCTTCAAATGCATCAGTGGCATCCCGCCCTGCTTCATCAAGAAGGACTTCTTCGCCACCAGGGTGCT